GGGTGGCTCGGCCACCAGGTGGCCTCGGTGAGCCACCTGAGCGGCTCGGTTCTGGCCGAGCTTTTCCCGGGGTGTGCCGTGTCGTCCGTTGTCCAGTTTCACGGTTTTCGCGGTTTATCGGTTTATCTGAGCTTCGTCGTTGATCTGAACTCTGATTTGGCAGTCCGGATCCCGATTTGGCAGTAAACCCGCCTTGGAGTTCGAGTTCGAATCCATTCTACGGTTGGATGACTCGTTGACTCACCGAACCGTTAGCTTGATTCCGCACGCAAGTGTTGTTTGCGTGCGATTCGTTAACCTCGTCGCCTCGTTAATCCGATTCGTCACGTGTCACTTGGCTTCGATGTGGTGGACTAACGCTAGTGTTTGGATATATCGCCCGATGGTTCGTTGGTTTGTTGAATCACCGTGCCGAGTTGTGTTAAGGGACCTATAAGCAGTTTTATACGCCTACAGATACCCCCTCCAAAGTATTTCAGCCTCGTTCTTTTATAGAAGAGTCTGGAATGCTTTGGATATGATTGCCCCAACCTTCAATCGGTATGACGGGACCTTGGAATGGCTTTTGTTCTTGATTCCTTCAATCCTTCAGGCTATTCGGTGCTTTGTCGAATGTCTGTAAGGGTTCCGGTGCTGCATTTATTGTCTGACCGTTGTCGGAATTTTGAACTTGAAGTCGATTCCTGATTTTCTGATCTTTTAGCTTGTGTTTGCTGATTCAACATAGAACTGACCATCGATCGTTGGCGTTGAGCCTTTATTTGCGACGCGTTGTCCGGCGTAGTGTTGTTGAATTATCCTTAAGAATATTCTCCAGGAACTTCTCAACCAAAAATAGGGAATAGTTTATACTCGTATACCTTATTGGAGTACTTTTCATGTCCGAATGAGTTGAACCGGCCTGGTTCAAGACTGGTTTAGGACTGGTTCAGGACTGGTTTAGCCTGGTCAATGTAAAGGACCTGCAGTTAGCTTCAATTCTTGACTCCTTCGATTTTCAGTCTATTCGATGCTTTGACGAATAGCTGAAATCCTTCCGGTACCGCCTTTATCGTCTGGCCGTCGTCAAAGTCTCAAATCTAAAACTGATGAGTTGAGTTTGGCTCGTGTCATCGAGTTGACTTTGAACTGACTATCTCCTTCATGATATATTGACTCGTGTTGACTTTTTGCTCGCAACGCATTGACTGGCGTTAAACTAGGGTTACGCGTTGATAGGCGTTGACCTTAGGGTTTTGAACATCGTACGTTGACTTTTTGATCGCAACGCGTTGACTGGCGTTGACCTAGGGTTACGCGTTGACCAGCGTTGACCTAGGGTTTCGAATCGCTTGTCATTTGTTGGAGTATACACAGTTTAAGCTCTTGAGGTATTGGAGCATGGCGGTCCTAAATATTGGGCTGCAGGACCAACTATCAAAGCTGATTCATCTGCACGTGTGGATCTCATCCCGAATTTGTTGGATGTCTAAGTCACGAAACCAACTAATGGGGCTGGTGCGTCAGTGACTTTCGCATATATAGGATTTTTGGCAAACCCTCAGCCATCAACGGGTTTGATGCGCCTTTACCGACTACCGTTTGAGTCGGGCTAGCATGCGGATTGTTTAAGTCCGTTCCACATGTGACGTTATGCTAAAAGAGTTAACCCTTTTAGTGCTATGATATTGAATACGTAGACCTCGTCTTTCTCCTGTGAAAAGACTAAACAGCAACGTGTATCAGACATTGACTTAGGATTTTTGGCAAATCCTCAGCCCTCAATGGATTTGACATGCTTTCACCGATTACCGTTTGAATCGGGCTTACATACGGATTGTTTTAAGTCCGTTCCGCATGTGACGTTGTGCTAAAGGAATGAACTCCCTTAGACTTGATGCTACGACTTCGAATACGTAGACTTTGCCATTGTTACGGGAACAGGTTACCCGGCAACGCGTGTTAGGCGTTGACTTTAGGATTTTTGGCTAACCCCAAGCCTTTAACGGATTTTGAGACTTTGTGCTATGATGTCGAATACATAGACTTCGCCATTGTTACAGGAATAGGCTACCCGGCAACGTGTATTAGACGCTGACTTATCCCTACTTAGGCTTCGGGATAAAATACCCCAGAATCGAACTCTGGTGTCTTTTTCTATGGAAAAAGACTAAACCGGCGACGTGTGTTAGGCGTCGACATATCCTTCCTTAGGATTTAGGATGAAATTCCCCATGCGTGTAAGGCATGGATTTTGGTGTTACTAATAACAACCTGCCACAATGTTGAATATGTGGGCGGGTGTTCTTTTTAACGGTTAAGAACTAACCGGCAGCGCGGGTTAGGCGCAGCCTTATCCCTGTTTAGGTTTCAGGATAGGATACCCCAGGATCAAACTCTGGTGTCTTTTTCTACAGAGAAAGACTAAACCGGCAGCGCGTGTTAGGCGCAGACTTATCCCTGCTTAGGATTCGGGATAAACTTCCTAGACTGGAATTCTGGTGTCTTCTTCAATCGGTGAAAGACTAAACCGGCAACGTGTGTTAGGCGTTGACTTATCCCTACTTAGGATTCAGGATAAAATTCCCCGTACCTGTGAGGCACAGATTTTGGGAGTTGAAAAAGGTGGTGTCTTCTCTTGGGGCAAAGACGAACCCGAAATGGGAGAGGAAGAATTTTATATTCTATCTCCCTGATACGGGTGTATCTTCTCTTCGGGAGCTTAGCGATCCTCATGGGAGCTTGAGGATAGATGATTCTCATGGTATCTTGAGAATAGAGTAGAGGAGTCGTGGAAGAGGCCATTGGAAGCAACGAAGTCGAAGGATTCGTCAAAACTGTAGGAATTACGGTTGGGCTCTGGCCGGTAGACCGGCTTGGTCGCGGCGGTCGACTGCTTAGTGCACAGACCCAGACTATGTCTCGGGACTGAGAGCGGTCGACCGAAGGTGGCGCTGCGGTCGACCGGAAAACCCTGTAATCGATTTCCCAGATTTCGACGTTCTGACCGGTCGACCGCCTTGGGCACTGCGGTCGACCGCGTAGCGGTTACGGGCCTGGGTCTGTTTCCTGCTCCAGTTGGGATTTCTGTTTAGTATAAATAGAAACACGACTTTTCTAGGGTTTAGAACTCAGTTTGTAATCAGAAAAGAGATCAGGGAGGTTGTTCTTTGATCTGAGATTGTGAGAGAGAGATTTGTAAAAAAAATCCAATTGATTCTCATAATCTAGAGAAGGTATTTTCCTTCGCCCTAATTCAACTCTTGTGTTCTTCTGTCGTTTTCTTCTTTACCCACTCTTGATAATTCTGCGATCAAGAGTGCTTGCACGGCAACTCGTATCAAGTTGGTATCAGAGCGTCTAGATCCTGTGAAGGGGGAACCTGTGTATGGTCCTTACTCGCTCACAGTACAAGAAGCTTGGCGAGTTCCTTATTTCTTTGGAAGGAGTCCAGAAATTAAGGAGGGAGAAGATGACTGAAGCAGATAATTCAGCGA